GCCCCTGCGCCCACGTCTCATCGCTTCTGGATCTCCCTCTCCCCCGTGGTTTTCCTTATTCATCTGCTTTTCCTTGCGCACGTTTTCCAGGGCAGCAGACGGTCGCAGCGGGAGGCCAGCGAGGCATTTGGCCGGAGCAAGGCTTGGGCAGCAAGGTGCCACCACCACAGCCACTGCAGGGAGGTGATCCCCACTGGGTGGGCCAAGGGGCCCTCCATCACACCAGGAGGGGACCGGCTGCCCCGGGGAGTGTCCATCTTAGCTGTGATGGTGCACACTGTGTTAACGCTGGACTGCCTTTACCTCCTTCGCTGGCGTAGAGAGGGTGCTTTGAAACAAATGCGCCTTTTGAGAAATTGTGGCACGTCAAGTTGTTTGAATTGGTCATGTGAAGGGTCTTAGACGCGTCCCTCGCACTCTAGGAAGGTATGTGGTTTCTGGAGGTGGCCACGGAAAGGTGAGCACTGCGTAGCTGTGTGAAAGAGGAAGTAGAAAGTGTAAAATACAACCTCTAACGAGTATTATATACCCAAACGGCATCTTCTTAAAATCAGGAATCCTTTTTTTTTTAAGTTATTCCATTGTGAGCCAGAGGCTGCAGCTTTCTGGCCAGACACAACAATTTCCTGGACAGAGCAGTTTCCTGTTATTCAAAGTGAGCGGACTCGTTTTGATAAAGTTAGTATGTTTTCGAGTAGCTTTCTCTGCTGCGAGGGTCAGGAATGCTTGACATGAGCAAAAAGGTGGTTTCAAAATCCCTTGACATGGTATGTGCGTCCCAAGTGCCATGTCGTTCGTCAGCTGATTTCATTTACAGATCACTAAATACAGTATGATACAGAATTGAGATTAGGAGCCAAAACAGAGAAGAGAGAAACTGCCAGCAAAGGAGGGGGTAACATATAACATAATAAAGAAAGATTTAGTAACAGCCAGCGAGAGAATGGCAAAAGGGAAATGTGACAGATTCACAACCAGCCAGATCCCCAGTCCATTGGAATTGCTGGGTTTGGAAAAAACTGTTTCTTTTAGCATTGCTGTGGTCCATAAACATAATGGTACTGGGACAAGAAAAAGAAAAGAAAACAAATTTGGAAAACAAGTGGAGGGGGAAGTAAGTGGTGTGAAAAGTGAGGGCCAGATGAGCAGAGGAAGAAATAGATTCCCTACTGAATTTATCACTGAGCTTGGGGAAGGGTTTGTTTTAATTTAAAAAGTGTTCAGCAACAAGGTATAGAACAAGAGAACATAGTATTTAAAGTCCAGTGTGTTTAGACTTCCAGCACTTCCTCAGTATTCAGGATACAGCTTTGCTTCCCAATGCTCTCTGCTTCAGCAAAGCAGCAGCTTTACTTGTCAGTCAGGAAAGCAGGCCATGAAAATCAAGTGACAGTTAATACACTGTGCTTAAAATAGAGTGTCTTTTGCTCCAGAAACTCAAAATGCAACAAAAGACATTCATAAAGTAAGTGTCCCTTCACAATGCTCAGTAAAAGATAGCAATATTATACTTTTTTTTTTTTCCTTAAAAGGAAGTACAAGAAGCTTGAAACATTTTTTATAAAAGGAATATTTTTAAAAATTTCTTACTCTAGGTAAAGACCTCCTTATAAACACTATATCCGAATTTATGCATTCTTTAAAAGATTTGCATGCGTTTTTTCTCCTCCCCTTTTATATTTGTGAGATTGTTTTCAGTGAGGGAAAAATGGGCTGCCCTGGCCACTCTTCAATGCAAATGGGTAACTACAATGCTTGTATCAAGCTCCCCGTACAGCAATTTTGAGAATGGATATGTATTTATACAACAGTAACATTTATATGCCAAATGCTTTTCCATGGGCAATGAGAGCAAGCCAAGAGAAGACAAAATATTTTCCTCTGGCTTCCTGAGAAATAAACATCCTCTTTTTATTAACTTTGATTCTTCTTTGTGTGTGTATCTGTGTATGTATACGTGTTTGGGTCTGCCTTCTTATTCCAAGTAATAAATTTCCTTGACCTGTGTAAGTCATACTGAACACCAAGGCAGAGCTGTCAAAAATACTAAATTCCTACCAGATATGTGAAAGTGTGCAGAAAAGAAAAACCTTATTAAAGCTGCTACTGAACTATAACCTCAGCTCGTACTGGTTGATGGAGAGTGTACATAGCAAACAGGTAATATGTGTAATGCAACTAGCTGAAGACTTAAACTGGTTTCGCATATTATGAGACATCAAGGAACACAACTGTAAGCCATAAAACCACTACTAGTTTCACTTTCCCTGGGGGCTTTTGTGTTCTGCTCTTACTTTACTTCATATGACCAGATTTTAGTTGCTGTCCTCTGTTACTTCTAGTAACTTTCAGGTTCAGTAATTTCCTGGAAATTCCATGTAAGCTGACTTTGGAGAAATTTCTTCTTGGGAGCATTGGGCCATATCTTCTACAGCATGATATTCTGCTGCTTCTATTATCTCTAGGTTGTTTTGCCTGCAGTTTTTGTTGTCTTTGGTATGTCTTTATTCTCCCAAGCTGATATTAACTGCAGATTTCATTAGCGTTTTCTTAACTCTGTGGGTTTTGTCACTTTACTTTATCTATCAAACACCATCCCTTAAGAATCCCATTAGGCAAATCACCATAAATCAAGACTTTATCTTTTGTTATTCATTATTTAAGGTTCTGCAGCCCATTTTAGATCTACTGGAAATCCCTTTCCTATCCCACCCCATCCTATCATTCCTCTCAAAGTCGTTTTCAATTAATTTTTAATCCAGAGGCTTGGCTGGTCAGCATAGTTAGTGAGAGCATGAATTTATAGCACTCTAATGCCCACTCATCTCAGTTCCACCCACAGCCCGATTCCCAGTACTTCCTATTGGCGTGGCGCACCTCGAGCCCGAGGGACAGCCAATGGCAAACGCTGGGCAGCGCGACTGGGGAGGAATTAAGGGCATCCGAATATAACGCTTACTGTTCACACGGTGAAAAGTAGCTTAGTTCAGCTTGTCTTTTAACACTGCTGGCATCTGGTAGAAATGAGAGTAGCTAATTCCATCGGCAGAGAGCCTACAGAAGCTGAGATTTATGCTGGGTTCCAGGTTGTTATGTATGGTATATTAAGACTGAGGAGGCAGATAGATATGTAAGCTCGAAGCTGTAGACATCGTTGCATACAAAGTGCAGATGGCTGCGCACATCCTTTTTGGCTTACTGAAAAGCACAAACTCACAGTAACTATGGCTTTTGATGCTGACTACAATATATCTGAACAGACATATTATTTTAAATGAGGGCCATGTGCTTAAACGGTTAAACCTCCATGGCATATATTCAAACTGACCCTCTCCCACTGCCTTCTGTGCTTCAAAACAGATGAAGGGAGTCCCAATTCACTGGTGAGATACAGAATAAGGAGAAATTATTAATCCTTTATGAAATTTTCTTCTTAGTAGATCTGTTGCCTTCTTTCATGTGTTGGGGTGAATGAATGTGTAAGAGTGAACTGATTTTGGCAGGAGTGGGGTGAAATGCAGGTGGGGCGTCCAGGATCACAGGGAATGGAGAATTGCTTCCTTGTGCACACAGCAGCACAGAAGAAATCACAAAGATGGAAAGAAAAGAAAGAAAAAAAATCTTACTCAGAGCGAGTAAGATTTACAGAGCAAAGTGAGAAAATGCGTTCAGATCTGCAAAGGGAAAGAAGTGGTAATTGAACTGCGAAAACACCAGTTCAGCAGTGGCGGTTCATAGTGACACATTCTTTTATTATTGCGTACTTACTGACTGCTGGATGTTTGAACATGCACTGATGTCAAATAACTATCTTGTAATGTACTACTGGTCTAAGCAGACCTTTATCTTTTTAAAGCACAATTGGAGATCAATCATTAGCTAGTAAGCACATAACCTACTGATCTATACAGCCAGAGTGAGAACTGGTTAATAAGTGACAGGGCACTAGGGAATGGACGACCTGGCCTAATTATGTGTGACCTTGTGTCTCACATGCTTCAAAGTTTGCTGGAGACTTACAGACAATCGCCCCCACTCCTGAAATACTTGGAGGTTAATGATGCTACAGTTGGAAGAGTAATGTAGCCATTCTACCTTATCTAAGGTATTTTTGCCTTGCACAGTAAACTGCAAAGTGATATGGTCCGAGCTGCTTTTCTGCTGTGATACCTACAAGAGCTCCATGAATTGCTGAGGAAGGGGGCGGATCCAGAATGATGAAAGGTGTCATGGTTGGCATTTATAGTATTTAAATACAATATTTATAATATTTAAAATATTGAAAACAGATCCAAAAGGGCACGTGTCTGTAACCTTTATCTTCACGCACGTTCTGTGTCACGTATCTTAAAGTGTAAGCCCATTGGGTTAGGTGACTGCTGATACTGTTTTCCCACTCGGTGTGGGGGGCTCAAGTTCCTGCTTTACAGTATGTGGAAATTAAACAAGAAATGTGGTAAGATGAGACAGAAAAAAACCTAAAAAAAAATAGTAAACAAGAACTCGATAGACCTTAATCACTTCATATTTATTGTACATTAAATAAAACAGTTTCAGTTCAGTTGAGAGACTCATGGGTCAGATTTAGGAAATCAAAACTTCTAAAGGAAGATATGTTCAGCATAAATGATCATTAAGTACATATGTGTTATTTATGTTATAGTAAAACCATATTCTGTTAAACAATTCTCAGGTGAATAAGATACATTATCAAAGAGGTATGTATTCCAAGGGTCTTATTGCACAGCTACTGGCTAATCCATGTACTGTCAGTCTGAGAAGGATATGCTTTGTACCACCGAGTACAGACTCGGACTGCCTCCTCGTGTATATTACACAGCTTCTCCTCTTTCCTTATTAAAAAACAGAACACAATATCAAACAGAAAATAAAGCTGAACATTACAAAACGTGTGTTGTCTTCAGTTCATTTCATTTCAACCCCAAAGCAATCCATGCGTATTCTTTCCTTTTGGTAAGAGCAGGTAGGGAAAACAAAACAACAAATAAGAAACAAAAAAAAAAAAATAAAGGGGGGGAAAGAAAATACAATCCCCAACCACACGTTTGTTCTGTCATTGCAAGAACTAAAATGCTGTAATTCTGCTACCAATTTCCAGCGCAGTGGGAGGAAGCACTGTGGACGGACTCTCACTTCCCCTCAGTTTTGTCTGCCTGTACTTCACGCATATATGAATCAATGATATGCGGAGGCACTCCATCCATCAATAGTCTGAAGAACGAAAGCCCACCTACGAACAAGGAATAAGACAGTCTTCAGGTGGAAGGTCCCTGGAGCAACAGCTTTGTACCTTTATTTTCTGGTGTAAGCGACAAAGATTTAGTCAGTCCCTATTGCATACTTCATTTTGAGATGTGATAAAATTAATCCCTGTTCAAAAGTCCAGCACGAGAATTAACCATTATTTAATCTCTGTACTATACAGAACATTCGTGTCCTCTTGCACAGGGTGATTTTCATTTCTAAGTTGTCATATATTCAGTCATTTATCTCACCCCATGCAATAGTCTATGATAAGCCTCACCTCAACTAACCCTCCCTCCTGGATTTCCGTCAGGCTGGGTGGAGTATAGTCAGAGATGGAAGTCAGGCCAGAGGGAACAATGTAGAAAACACCTGACTATGATGAGTCATGGAAAACATGCAGAGACATTAAAATTATTCTAGTGTTGGGTCTTGTAACCGTTTATAAGTATTTAGCAAAATATTTACCATGTTGCTTGAAAATAGCAGGTGGGATGACATATGTAAAAATATTACAAAAAAAAAAGCACCAGGATTTTAGATATAGGTGCCTTTAGACTCCAGAGAGAGGTGATGGAAGTCAAAACTTTCAGCTGTTGCAGGAGTCTGAAGAATGATTTTGGGTTCTCTTTTGAATAAAAAAATGACCACATGTAATTACCTTGGATCCAGGTGCTTATTCCCTGAAAGCTCTAGAGTTTTCCCAGGGCTTGAACCTATTAGTATGTGATCTCAAAGCTGTGGGAGGTCCTGCACCGATCCACAGGGGGGACTTACTCCACACTTGTGGCCAGCGTCATCCTTAGCTGCAGCAGTGAGTGTCCACCCACACAAGCCCCACAACAAATAGGGGCCTTTTGTAAGTGCTTCCTCCAGCTCGGCCAAAACTTAGTTTCCTGTCTCTGTGAAACTAAACTCCCCCCCCCCGCCTGCCCCATTTTCCAGTTTTATGATGGTTGGAGTCAATAGTCATTGAACAGGTATCAGAAGTACCATTCCCAGCCTTTTAGGTCCATGTGCTTTAAGGCTGTGGCTTAGCCACCATGAGTAAAAAAGTGACCCAAACCTATTTTAAATTACTGCTTTAAAAGAAACCTGGGCTTATAAGAGAACCATTGGAAGTACTCAAGGTTTTTTTTGGTGTTCTGGAGAAAGGGACAAAGCAAAGGAACAGGTTGCCCAGAGAAGTTGTGGGTGCCCCATCCCTGGAGGTATTCAAGGCCAGACTGGATGGGGCTTTGAGCAACCTGGTCTGGTGGAAGATGCCCCTGCCCATGGCAGGGGGGTTGGAACTAGATGATCTTTAAGGTCCCTTCCAACCTAAACCATTCTATGATTCTATGGAAAGATTTTTGAAGAACATCTAATAATTTTAGCAATCCAAGACAGAATATTTCTTTCAGTGCCCAGAAGAACAAGCACAACTCACCAGCTGGGGCGCCCCAGATCCCACTGATGTAGAAAAAGTAATTTAATACAAAAAATCCAAATTAAGAATCAAATTTCACGCCATAGAAAAAAAGGTCATGGAAACTAGAACATGGATATTTATGTTAATTTCATTGAAATCAAGTGACATTTGGAAGGAGCAGTGGGAAAAAGATAAATATTTTGCTAAAACATTAGAGTCTGCCCTTTCTCAGCATTTGTTCTAAGAAAGCTATGTACCACTCCTGTCCCTCTTACGAATCTGCATGAGTCTTCTGTCCTGCAAGTCACAAAACCACCTGCTAATAACCGCACTTACCTTCGGAGCCTTTTCTGGAACAAACCAAAAGCTTTAAAGCAAAAGTACATTGCCAGGATGAAGATATCACTGTTTCTGAATGCTTCAAGCTAAATGCAACTGAGCTGATACTTACAGACAGCATTTATCCTGAGTACAGGTTTTAGGATTTTGTAACCTTTATTAACACAAGGATTATCCAATTAAAGTGCTATTAGTTACTAGTGATTATGAGACTGCGCTGTCTCATTTAACACCGTCATTGTTGCAGAACTCTTCGCTCCCGACCTCAGGTAGATGCACAATACAGACAAAAAAAAAAAAGCATGCTTTTTGGCATTCTTTTCAACCCATGGAGTGCAAGTTGTGATATGAATCATTCCGTTTTAAGTGAAATTAACTGTGGAATAAAGATTTCATTTATGTAGAGGTATAGTCCTATATGAAAATAACCGACTGTAAATGCAAAATGCTCTTTTATTGCTTGCATTTTATTCATGCTAATTAATCATGCTAATTCATGCACTGTTAAATTCCATTGAAACGTGCGCTATTAGAAGGTAGTGGGATGTACTACTAAGAGGAATTACCATAACAAGCAATTATTATAAAAATCTGGATTTATATGCATTAAAACTATCATGCTACTAATTTAAAAAAACATTTTCATTAAGTGAAATAATGAAAATCATGCCATACTAGGCAGACATTGTATGACTTGTAAACAGACATAAGCTTCATATGCAAGAACCATATGAAAGCTTACCTTAGATGACAATATACATTCAAAAATCCTTACTGTGTAACTAAGGGAGAGAGAGAAAGAGAAGTAACCATTTAATCACAAACACAAAAGTAGAGAGAAAATGTTGAGTGAAATTATGCTTACAATTATGTCAAGATGATGTTTTAATCCTTAGTCATGTAAAATATGTAGGAATAGAAGCACATGAAGAGTAAAAGGTAGGGATCCAGTTCCACTTCAAAATTATCATTAATATGTAAAAGCTATATTAATATGTACAAGTAACTATAACTCCTGTAATTAGTCTAATGTCTAGATTGGAACCAAATTATGCAACTGACATTTATGGTAAAAGTTTCCAAACATAGCTTCAAGGAAGCTAACACACATATATATATATATATATAATATTTTCCACCAGGGAAAAAAAAGCACACACATAACACCAAAGCATATATATATATATATGTCAAAACTCTGTAAGGCAAAATAATCAAGTACAGACTGATAACATACCTGTGCACTAAAGTATGTACTTTGACACATATTCACATTTACATTACTTAAAGCATGCTATTTACTCTATAGGAGCCCTTACCTTTATACACTTTGACTCTATAAAACACCCATGTATATATTTTTATATATGTATGTCTGTAAAAGCACTCAACTTTGTGCCTACTGTACCCATTTAAGATAAATACCTTAATATTTCAAATACTACAGGAATATTATCAAGCCTAATTTCTTAACATGTTTTATGTTTAAAGTAGTAAATTTAGATGCATAATATTCTGGAGACGGGTTTCTGGGCGTCTCTGACATTTTAAAACTGCACTGCCAGTATTCTGGATTTGGGCAAGGTTACAAGCAAACACATTTCTATAGAAAGAACCGAATTCTCTGAACACCACTGAACCTGAATTTAAAATAAGCTCCAGAAGAAATGAAGTAAAATTATGTGGTTTTAAGTAAGAAGTTTTCACCGATTTCAATTGGATCGAGATTTCATCCTTAGATACTGTAGTGCACGCTCAGGCATGGATTATCACTTTTGGCACTAACTTGTAGCTGAAGACTATAATTCTGTAATAAAGAATTCCTTTTAAGCACAGTAAATGACTTTATGATACTTTTCTTCTTTCAGTAATTCTACAAGGTAACTCAGAGCTGTTTTTCAAATTTCTGTCTCCTGGAAATGTCTAAGTGTTCTGGTCAAAGGTAATCACAGTCATTAAATAAATTCTTTATAGACAGGTAGTTCTATTGCCAGTGGCATAGCAGGAATATGTCTAAAATCTCTTTAACTCAGATGTTAAATACCCATATTCTTGATTGATTTGGCCTTCTTTGCTCATGTGACATAGACATTGTATGCCATGAGACACTAGCTAGTTTAATCTAAGAAAGCAAATAAATACACGCTTTGCATGCAGAAAATGCGTTTGCATGTGGAAAGAGAGGAAGGGAATGAAATGGAATGTCCAGAGGAGTATGCTTATTATAAACCTGATTATTCCCCGCCAAGAAGAATGGTTCTCCTGGGTTAATTACTCCATGATATATCACTGCAGAATTAGAATATTTATAGTCTTATTTATTCACATTTGAAATTCTTCCCAGTTGATCTTAACACCTTATTTTTTAACATTTCTTATACAGCATCTTTGATATCATCAACCTATTAAAGTGATCACCAACCTTGATTTAGCTCTTAAGATAAACGTTCTCCAAAAACATTTGTTTCATGATAAAAGAAGCGTGGTGCTTTATCTGAATCTTTTCATTGACCTCAGTGAAGCTTATAAGGAATCAGTTCCTTACTACTCGTAATGAGAGTTTTACAGCCATAGTTAGGGATCTATCCCTAAATTAAAAGATACATATTTTGCATTATCCTTGTATAACATATATAATTAGATTCTGTGTATGCATCATCTTTCAAGATATACAAGGTAGAATTATTCTTTTGTCTAAGATCTATTGAGTGACTTTTTTTCGCACATTTATATTTACAAAAAAAGCCATTGCACATGCAGTTGCACCGAACAGTTCATGATGGGCATCTTTAAGTTCACTAATGATGGAGTAAAGCTGAACCAGTTTAAAGCTAAACAAATGAAAACACACGCGCGCGCACACACACACACACTCTGCAATCCCTTTCCCGGCAGTCAGAAATCCATAACTCTTTGCTCTGCATCAATGTGATGAGCGGTCATCCGAAGAGCCCTCCTAAATGAACAACCAGGCCAGGAAACTTAAAAGAATGATAATTCCACACATAAGTCAATAGAAGAGTGAAATAAGACGTAATTATGTTTTTGGGCTCTGGCTGTTTAATACTCATTTGCATTTGTCTGTATCATGTAGCAAACCCTGAGCCTACCCGGCTCTGCCAAGCAGCAGCTGCCGCATTCGCTTAATCCTGTCCCCTTTGAACTCATCAGCTGAACTGCCAGCCACGTTCAGAGTGTCAGCACTGAACCCTTGCGACAGCTGTCCCCTGCCTAAGCCCTACAAATTGCTGGTCTAAGCAGTCTTCAAGAAAGGAGTCGAAAAGTAGTGGCTAAAGCTGCCAGGGTGGAGGGAGGAACCTCAGCCGGGGTGACCCCTCACAGCCCAAACTGTTGGGAGAGAACCACCATGCCAAGCTTGGTGGGAGGGAGCGGGAGCGCACCGGCTGATGGTTGCTGTGAGGTTGGGTTCAGAAACTTACCCTTAACTAGGGGAGGTGGGATTTAGGTTAATGAAGCAGCCCATCATGCAGCTAAGAAGAGAGAAACAACACAGAGCCCAGGTGGGATCCTAGCAGCCTACATTTTTCAGGACTTCTTCCACATGTGAGGCAAAATTGGAGTACTGCTCTGAGCAAGATGTCTATGGCGTAATTTTCCATTTTTTTAGTTGACCTTTTAAAGTAAATACTCTTTTCCTTGAGAAAAAAGAAGGCTTTTTGAGTCTGGAAATGACTGTGCTATGAGCCTTTTGCAGTCAGCGGGTGTGTGTGGGGTTTGGTTGAAAGCGGGAAAGGATGAACAAAATCTTGTCTAAGGGGAGTAATTCTTCCAGTCTTGTTCTCACTGTAGCAAAATTATGTTCAGCTGCAACCCCAAGGTAAGGTGCCAGAGGAACTGAGTCTGTAGGACGTGCTGTGACCAGCTGATAGGATGATTAATATAATCTTCAGGACACGATGCCCCATGCGTCTATCCAAGGTTTCCTGTGGGATGGGTGGTCGGGGGGGGATACTTCTGACTGAGATGCTAGGGTATGGTGGCAGTGTTAAGAACGGACTCAAAATCTGGGACTCACAGAGCTGGAAGCAATCTTGAGATGTCATTGAGTGCATATCGTAACCCAAACAAGTTGTACTGCTGTCATTCTTTTAAACTTCTCTTAAAGGCTGTTGGTACCAAAGGCTCTACAACCGCTGCAGGCAATCTGCTCCAGTGCTTCACTGCTCTGACTGTTGTCTACCCTAAATGTTTGCTGCTATGTTACCAGATATGATTTTTTGGGGGTTTAATCTATAATGCAGCCGTTATGGAAAGAATGGGCTGTGAATGGGACAGGCCTGGCAGCCTGTGAACATAGTGTACCATATGCTCTCCATTTCAGACCTATGGAAGTTAAATAATCATTTGTCAGCAAAAATCGTCAGGGACATCATCTCAGCTCTACCTAATGATCACTTAAATGAAGAGAACTGTAGCTTTTTTCCTAGATACATTACTTCTAATTGACTGGGAAAGCATCTAAGCATTCCCAACCTATTTCAGATACCAGTCTATAAACGTAAGAAGTTGAATTCCTCATCAGAATTGATCAAAGGCAAAAAATCTCTTCACACTTCTCCCTTGAAAACTCTAACATAGAACAGCTTCCATTGCTGGTGAGCAATTTCTTGGAAACTATTGCATATTAAAAGAGAGCCAGAATGATGACATAGTGTTTGTATTATACTTCAAAAATCAGCAAAATAATTCATCCTGATATTCAGAGAAAAGAATTTCCAAGATCAACAGAAGCATTTATATTTCACAACAGCTGGAAAGGGAATTACTGAAGAATAATATATAATCCATGGCAACATTTGGAGTTTAGATTTCCTAAAATGGAGAGATATTAGTTAAATTATTTCTTATCTTAAAATGTTATAATCTTATAATGTTGCAAATTATATGTAAAAATACTTCATAAAACAAAGGACAGAAATAAACAGCTTCTTGTGTTGTACTACAAGCAAAGTGGTGAAGTCTAAAAAGTTACCACTGAGTGTAAACATGCGTAACAAATTCAGGGCTGGGGGACTTAGGAAGTTTAATGAAATAGCAAACTAACTTGGCCTTTCATTATAAAAAAATAGATGAAGCAACCTTCTCGGGTGAGAAGGTCTTCTGTTACGCTGTGAAACAGAAAGTTTGCTTGTGCGTAAGGAAAACAATTATACTTCCAGGATGAGGTCATCACCCTTTAAACACAGTATCTTAAAAATAAATCATGAAAATTAAGGAATGTATTATGCATATTTTCATTACAGTAGTTAAAATGTTCAACTTCATAGACCAAACATTTATTGCAATGGCTTCTTGCTGGCAGATTTGACAAGATACATCAGAAGAGACAGAAAAAGGAAATTGAAATACAAACTAAATACAATCCAATCCATAAGGATATTAAATATTATGGTTTTCATTATAGAATAGCGTGACGGAAGTAATATAATTAGGGCCATATCCAGCTAGCCTAAATTCCCGAGTTAAACACTTCCTGTCAGCTGTCTTTAGGCAGCTTTCCTTACTTATAAGGTCAGATTATTTTTTTCAGAAATACTTAGCTTATTCCACAGTAGAAACAAAAGCCTTTGGTGGGAGTTAGTCTGGCTAAATATGACCCCATCTCTTCCTAGCAAGAAATTTTCTGAAACATGTAGCCCTGAGATTATTCATTAGTAGTCCAATCCAAATCCTATTCCTGGTATCCCAGTCAATGCCAAACTGCCTGGAATTCATAAAATTTATCTATTCATGAAAATAAAGATATGTCTTCAGTTGTAGAAGGCTAACCTAATTTGTCCTTTTTCCCTATATTTGGAAAATCCATAGTTTTGAATACTTTGTTCTTAAAGCAAATACAGTAATTGTATCAATTAGCTTGTGTCCTTGGGAGCAACACTGCTTTTTGCTACATGATTTTGCTAACGAACTTCCATGGAAGCAACTGTTTGGCTTGTTTAATAAGTAATTTTAAAGCAGGCAAAGTCTGCCCTGAAGTAATCTTTCTTCCTTCTCTCCTTGCCATTTCTTTCAGAGATCTGTCTCTTATCCAAGATGATTTTCTTAATGTTTTCCCAAAGAGCTCTATGGCTGAGTCTTACTAGAGTTTCTCAGGAGGTAGCATAGCTCTCAGTCACAGTCTACTGTTTTGTCACGTGTGAAAAAAATCCTTGCAATCACTGAAGATGCAAATTGGCATGGGGGGCAGTGGGGGGAAGACAATATCGCATAAACACAGCATGTTGGTCCTCAAAAACAAAACAAAGCAACCCATATAGTTCATTTTGTCCTAACCAATTTATTATTTTCATCCAGGAAAGTTAAAAAAAGTTGTTTGAACACCCTTTTGCATTTGCCTTGCATACTTTTGACTCCTATGTTCAGACAAACAGGGCATTTGCCATGTTTCAAGCCGCTTACCTTTTACTTCCAGTTTGCAATCCACTTCTGCCTCTCCAAGTTCATTGACAGCTCGGCAGGTGTAAGTACCTCCGTCATAGGGACTGGGTTTGCGGATCTCCAAGGTGCAGACACCTTGGTTGCTGAACATTCGGTACCTCGGGTCATTCATTATAATGACTTTGTTTTTCAGCCAGGTTATTTTGGGCTGTGGTAAAAAGAAAAAAAAAAAAAAAGAAATGCACAAACATATGATCTGAAATATTTTACCCTTTTTTTTTTTTGTGTGATGTGCAGTTAAAGTTGGGTAATCCAGAAGTCATACAAAATAGATAATGATAGAAAGGAAACTGTAATTCTTAACTCAAAAAACCACAGGCTGCATCATGTATGTGTTTTTAAGCATGATTTTTTCAGTGCAGCTCCTATCTCATAATTAATCATAAATTTAAGTCTATTATCAATATAAGAGGTGCTGTTTGCTGATAGCAAACATCTGATCAATGGCTTTTGACATCTGATTAAGTCAATAAGAAAAGCGCGTTTTTTCACAGTAATTTGCAGTCAGAAACGGTGAAGGTGAAGAGTGAAAAGCAATGTTCTTAAACACTCTTCAGTTCTCATTTTACTACCTCAGTTCAGTTTCTCACCACAGAAAACAGATCACACAAAGACACAACTCAAAAGAAACTGGAAGATGCGTTGCTCAGTGGGTCTGAGAACCAATGCGGTCCCCGAAGTATTCCTGCAATGCACTTTCTTAAAGCATAAATAGCTTTTTATAGAATAATTATGGCTTTATTTTAAGTAACAACCCTTACTAATATATTAACTGTACAGCTGTTGTCAGTGCCAGTCCCAGTATAGCCCAGCCTTTTCCTGAGTTAGGTTCTGCCCTGTCACTAAGTTATCTGTGGATTTAGTAATTCTTATAATGTCTATAACACAGGTAAGCAGGTCCTCTTTTGTATTCTTTAGAGCCAGCCTTCAGCCTGGCTTATGTGACACAAATAAAAAAAAAAATGTAATGCCATTTTTACTAACTCTCTTGTGTTTTAACCGATACTGTTGTGAGCTATACTGTACCTTGGGGTTGCCCCGAACACTGCAGTTCAAAGTCGCGTTGTAACCAGCTACAGCAAACGTGTTGACTAGAGGCTGAGTGAACAACGGCCGTTCACTGAAGTCAAAATCATCGTAAACTGGATATTTGTAGACTTTACCTATGAAATGAAAATAAAACATTTAGAAAAAGACTGCTGTCATGTAGCTAAATACCCAAGCATCTAAAAAAAGCTACCAAGAGTCTGAATCTGTGCTGATCTGCACTGCTTTAGGTGCCAACTTGACTCTAGTAATTGCACTTGTAGGGGAGGCTGGAAGCGAGCCTGGGAAGGGACTATTGCTCTTGGTCATGCTATAGGGTAGATATTTGAGAGCTCCTCTTTGTTTCCCGAGTAGGTTGTATACAGAATAATACCCGTTTATTCTGTGTCTTTGGGTGCATGCCCTGCATGGTACAGAACAGGATGGACCCTGACTGAGGTACTCCAAGATGCCTGCCTTGACAAGCCACGTTCACTTTGTTGCCGATTACTTTTCACAGTTTGTTCTGATTACAAATTGGCTCTGTATACGAAAATCCATTTTTCTTTCTGCTTCGTACAGTGCACTAACAATACAGATACCTGAATGGATGTGGTACTAGGTAGTAAACTAGAAACTAGGTAGTAAAACCTAGTTTCTCACTGCCACTTTATGCCTGCTCTGCAATGCAGATTACCATCAATAAATCACCTTCACCCACAAACTAAGCTGATGTTTAAAACAGCTGGACAGACTGACATCCGTTCCTGTGCACAGGTATCATTAAACATCTTTGCTTCACTGGAACCTTATCGAAGATGCCATACTGCCTTCAGTGCAGCTTAGTCCTGATACTTGCTCTCGTGACAGGGGCAAGTAAGCAGTGATGAACAGCAATTCCTATCACCATTATTTTGTTCACGATTCCATTGTTAGAAGAGAGGTAGTTTTCTTTCTAATAATGGAAGCGGGGTCCAGTATGCTGCCCCTTCAGTCCGTCAGCCTGGCTGTGTGGGTTGTACAGGTTGTCTATCCTCTGCATCGTGGCAGACATGTATTCCTTCCATTCAGACAAACTGAGGTGATCTGGTTTGATTTTCTTCCTTTAAACCACCTGTGTGTAGAATTTCCCTTCCATAAAGGGCTGTTAATTCTTATTATTTTTTAAGGTTTACAGTACCATTTCAAACTGGCAATTTCTGCAATGTCAGCATTTCTGACTGCAGAATCAGAATTTGCCCAGCTCTACCTGCCGGAGACCTGAAGCAGGGGTTACACTTGTCTGTTGGAGCCTGCTGAAATGGGTGGGAGCACTGCACGGCTGATGCCAAGTCTCCACTGGGAGGCAGTGACCCACCACTTCTAGGAGAACAGCTTCTTTACTCCTCTTCCAGCTCTTGTCGACTTAGATCTGCCAGTGATGACACAGGTCTGAGATCCAAGGTCGCAGAAAATGTCAGACCATGAGAAAAATGTCCCACTCTTGATTAAAAATAACCAACTGTGAACTATGTGGACAAACCAAGAAGTCCTAATATGAAATGTCCTAGCTGCTACTTGTACCTGGTCTTGGGGCTAGGAATGCTTTAGAGGTATGGTTTTTCACTCTAGTCGCCTTCCAGCCCCTGAACACACCCCTTCTCCTTTGACAAGGAACAGATCATTAGCTAACCATCCTTTGCAATCAAAGCGCTCTCTTTGGTCATCGTTGCATCCTCGCTGAGGCCGCACATGTTTTCAGCGAAGATCCGGAAGTAGTACTCATTTCCTATGACGAGCTCGTTAATGGTGGCACTGGTGCGGTGGTAGTGCTCGATTACTGTGAACCATTCCTGAAAGACACAAACACAGAGAGTAAGCTTCCCCTCAGCACCCTGCACCTCTCAGCCATTAACCATTTGGAAGAATCATCAAGGTTGTGGGAGTAAGATTTTTTTTTTTTTTTTACGGGAATGTTAATGGATACTAAAATAGTGGAGCAGGCAACAAATAATTATTCTATCTGAAATGAGTGATAATGAGAATACCACAGAGCTCACTGCTGAGCAGCGAAGGCCAAATGGAAAGGGAGCCCTGCTAAATTGTTACACTCTCTTAGCTGGGAGGGTTTGTTTTAAGAAATCCAGTATTACAAAGGTTGTATTGTGCGAGGCGAGGCAGGCTGCTTCATTCCTAGTCCACACTGCTGACAGAGAAGGTACTGCTGCAGATAAGAAAAGTAGTAGCATGTACTACTCTGCAGTAACATGTACCCACAAGCGGCCAATGCACTAATTGACCCCCTGTTCCACAGGTTGAGTGTTCATGAGAAAAGTAATTTTATGCAGGTGGTCTTCCGATACCTAAAGGCTCAGATGGAGAGTTGGGTTTTGATGCTTTAGTCTTGCAGCAGTAACAGGACATTTTATCCTGCTATACAATACCCAGCTAACTGACTGAGTTGAATGAAATGAATGCTAAAAATCCCATTAATATGAAATGCAGTATGACCACAGCAATGTTTTTGCTTTTCTTGACTCTGCCCTACACAGTGTTCTTGCTTTTCTAAAGATGAACTTGTGCTGAGTTCCTTGTGCCACAGTTTGCATTGATATCTGTTCATCTTTAAGAGCCAATGTGCCTTTTGGGAAAACACTTTTTTGTAGGCAGTCAGCTGTGCCAGAATTGCAAAATTCAACACCACAGAGAACATGGGGACACTATGACCTGAATGATCCGTCACCCTAGGCACTGCTGTTGTTGCTTTCTCCTTAACACAGTAATTTAGAGACAGGGGTCATCATTGTTCTGGTTGCTGTACAGAGACCATCTCTTCTTACAGTCTGAAGAGAAATCAAAAAGTAAGGACAGGAAGGGAAATAGTGGCACAGGAAGAAGGAATTGATCAGACCATGAAGCAGATCAACATATTAAAGTGGGCAGGGGGAGGGGCGACAAAAAGATTCCCTTAGGTAAGACAAGTCCTAAGATATTGTCCTAAATTTCCACTGTTTAAGTTTTCAGTAAGTGTTAAATGTAAGAATCCAGCTACTGTCTTTTAAGGAAGTGTAAAATTCATGTTAGCTTAATCAAAATAAACACCTCTATATTGCACTTTTCATCTGTAAATCGCAAAGCAGTTTGTGAGCCATGTACTATTTTACTATGGGTAGTAAGGAGTGGCAATGACTTAGACAATGTGACATTACAGGTTTGAAAACAACACTACGTTTTGATTCTAGTAGCAACCTACTGACTTCATAATTAATATTTTTAGGTTTTATTTTCTTTACTGAGACAGAGGTAAAAAAGCAGAACTACTTCCCTCCAATCCACCTGTCCTGTCCTTTTTAGTTCTCTTCGGCATCATTTGAAAACTTTTCCATTTTTAGGCTTTAGATACAGTGAACAGGAGATTTTTAGAATTTTTAGAGATGCCTTGCAGATTTTCTGAGCGCTGCCTATGCTTTGTCTGCCTACATCAATTTAAGCATGTGAGGCTTTTTATTTCTAAAAGGGAGAATTCACGAGTACATCAGCCTTTTAAACATCTCCTTATTACTTACCATACTCTTCTTATCTGCTTTTTGAATAGTGTACCCAGTAATGGCAGCATTGCCATCATCTTTTGGTGGCTTCCATGATAAATTTACATTCTCTCCCCAGACGTCCTCGATAGTTACAACCTCTGGTGGGCCTGGGCGATCTGTAATGAAAATATGGCAGCTGACATTTCCCATTGTTTACTTTCTCTCTCTCTTTCCTTCACACATCTTCTTGAGTTTGATTTCTGTCTGTCTTTCTCACAACATGCACATGCCAAAACCAATGTCAAAAGAAAGTTGAGGTTGCAAAATAAAACTTTCCAAAGGTAAGACATGTCAGAATTATGAAAAACTTAACTTGACCACTTTGGGAGTATGGTTTCTAGTATACACATGCTCTTAAATTGCATGAGGACATGATATTTTGAGAGCTGGCTGTGTGACAGGACTCAGAGGGTTGTGATCAGTGGCTTGACGTCTAGTTGGAGGCCTGTAACCAGTGGTGTCCCCAGGGGTCGATACTTGGTCCAATTTTGTTTAATATATTAAATAATGACCTGGATGAGGGGACAGAGTGTATCCTCAGCAAGTTTGCTGATGATACCAAACTGGGAGGGGTGGCTGACTCTCCAGAGGGCCACGCTGCCATCCAGCGGGACCTGGACAGGCTGGAGAGCTGGGCAGAGAGGAACCTAATGAGGTTCAACATAAGCAAGTGCAGGGTCCTGCACCTGGGGAGGAAAAATGCCAGGCAGCAGTATAGGTTAGGGGTGGACCTGCTGGGAGATAGCT